GCTCTGTTAATAAAAACAACAGTTTTTTAAGCCACAAAATCTGGACTTGTCTTCATATAACAATGAATAGATTTCTGTTCATATGATTGCGTTGTACTTCATGAATCCCTGATCTCTGCCATTACATGCTATGAAACAAGAAAAGGTAACAAAGAAAAAAACAGCAATGTAATACAATACACTATTAGACATTATTGTATCAAATAAAAAAAATCCATCCCATGTGCTAGTGAATTTTTAAAAATATTTTAGGGAGGAAATGGCAGAAATAAGTTCTCTAATTTAGATATTTTTCTAGTGGGGGACCCCAGACCCCCTGGAAGATTTGGTCCCCCCAATGTTGACTCCGTGGCTACGGCCTTCCATTGACATGCTAGTTTCTCTACCAACACCCCCCCCCACTTTCTCTCTACCCCCCCTCTCTCTGCCTCGACACAGAGGCGTTGTTTATCTGTGTGCCTATGTGTGTCTCTCTCTCATCTCTCTCTGTGTGTCTATGTTTTGTCTCTCTCTCAAATTGAGCAATCTTTGGAAGAACGTTATCAACTAGGTAGGGTGTTGACTGTTATGTTAGCCGACTTTCTGCGTTGTATTGCATTGCATTTATAAGTTTACTAGGTTTGTTTTCTCTTTCATTTGTACCTGATGATGATTGCTTGTGTTGCAATCGAATCGTCGTATGCTATTTGCACACAGAGTTGGTGTACGGTGCTTATTGTGGAATATTTTGCTGTTTTTCCCTGGATTTTATGTTTGCACAGTCACATAGTCACTTTAAGATGTTTTCTCGTTCATGTTTGTGTTTGTTGCGGTTGCATCCAATTCAAGAGCCGAATGGCTCACGGGGCTATACCAAATAAATGAAACTGAAACTATAATTTAATTTATTTATTATACGTGACTTACCGAAAGACCCAAAGGGTATCTTGCTTAACCTGGCTCGCTACTTAGTAACTTTGTTTTATTTTAAATATTCAGTTTTTTTTTTTCATTTTTTACCAGGCTACGCCCGCTTGAGCTGCTGTACCGCTCTTGTTTTCAGAAGCGACCTGCCCACAACAACAATAACAACAAGGTGAGGCTCGTCAACAGCGTTGTGGTGTTCACTCTAGACGCGTGGCGGTGTTCACTCTAGACGCGTGGAGGTGTTCACTCTAGACGCGTGGTGGTGTTCACTCTAGACGGTGTGGTGGTGTTCACTCTAGACGCGTGGTGGTGTTCACTCTAGACGTGTGGTGGTGTTCACTCTAGACGTGTGGCGGTGTTCACTCTAGACGCGTGGTGGTGTTCACTCTAGACGCGTGGTGGTGTTCACTCTAGACGCGTGGAGGTGTTCACTCTAGACGCGTGGTGGTGTTCACTCTAGACGGTGTGGTGGTGTTCACTCTAGACGCGTGGTGGTGTTCACTCTAGACGCGTGGTGGTGTTCACTCTAGACGTGTGGCGGTGTTCACTCTAGACGTGTGGCGGTGTTCACTCTAGACGCGTGGTGGTGTTCACTCTAGACGCGTGGCGGTGTTCACTCTAGACGCGTGGAGGTGTTCACTCTAGACGCGTGGTGGTGTTCACTCTAGACGGTGTGGTGGTGTTCACTCTAGACGCGTGGTGGTGTTCACTCTAGACGTGTGGTGGTGTTCACTCTAGACGCGTGGTGGTGTTCACTCTAGACGCGTGGCGGTGTTCACTCTAGACGCGTGGCGGTGTTCACTCTAGACGCGTGGCGGTGTTCACTCTAGACACGTGGCGGTGTTCACTCTAGACGGGTGGCGGTGTTCACTCTAGACGCGTGGCGGTGTTCACTCTGGACGCGTGGCGGTGTTCACTCTAGACGCGTGGCGGTGTTCATTCTAGACACGTGGCGGTGTTCACTCTAGACGCGTGGCGGTGTTCACTCTGGACGCGTGGCGGTGTTCACTCTCTACATGTGAAGGGGAAACCCGGGGATCGGGAAGGAAATCCACACGACCACGGGGAGAGAGAGACCCACAGCCTCGGCTGTGTTGATTGATCCTCAATGAATTGCTTGGTGAAGTGAGGAAGCATTAATACTGAGCAGGTGAAGGTGGCCAGGTGTGGGTCTGGACACACCACCACCTGTGAACCATGCCAGGGTGTGACAGTGGTGGAGCCAGTGGGGGTCGGGTGGCACGTGCCCCCCCAACGATGTTTTCTCGTTCATGTTTTGTTTTTTGTTTGTTGCGGTTGCATCCGATTCAAGAGCCGAATGGCTCACGGGGCTACACCAAATAAATGAAACTGAAACTAGTATTTTATTTATTTATTTACTCTACGTGACTTTACCGAAAGAACCAAAGAGTATCTTGCTTAAGTTTTAATTTCTCTTCACCTGGCTCGCTACTTTGTAACTTTGTTTTATTTTAAATATTCACAGTTGTTTTTTTTATTTTTTACCAGGCCACACCCGCTTGAGCTGCTCTACCACTCTTGTTTTCAGAAGCGACCTGCCCACAACAACAACAAGGTGAGGCATGTCAACAGCGTGGCGGTGTTCACTTTGGACGCGTGGCGGTGTTCACTCTGGACGCGTGGCGGTGTTCACTCTAGACGCGTGGCGGTGTTCACTCTAGACGCGTGGCGGTGTTCACTCTAGACGCGTGGCGGTGTTCAATCTAGACACGTGGCGGTGTTCACTCTAGACACGTGGCGGTGTTCAATCTAGACGCGTGGCGGTGTTCACTCTAGACGCGTGGCGGTGTTCACTCTAGACGCGTGGCGGTATTCAATCTAGACGCGTGGTGGTGTTCACTCTAGACGTGTGGCGGTGTTCACTCTAGACGCGTGGCGGTGTTCAATCTAGACGCGTGGTGGTGTTCACTCTAGACGTGTGGTGGTGTTCACTCTCTACATATGGAGGGGAAACTCGGGGATTGGGAAGGAAATCCACACGACCACGCGGAGAGAGAGACCCACAGCCTCGGCTGTGTTGATTGATCCTCAATGAATTGCTTGGTGGAGTGAGGAAGCATTAATACTGAGCAGGTGAAGGTGGCCAGGCGTGGGTCTGGACACACCACCACCTGTGAACCGTGCCAGTGTGTGACTGGTGGAGCCAGTGGGGGTCGGGTGGCACGTACCCGGCTTCGCCTGGGACTTGGATTTTTGTCTTGGATAAATTTCATATTCCCTTATAATTCACTGAAAATCCCTGAAAACAAATGTATGCTTGCAAGAAAGAAAAAAGCCGAAACACATCAATTTACCTAAATCGGATGTTTTCACTCGAGGATATTCAACCGTAACCCACTTCTACGTAAGGTTGATTTTGGCAACTCGGGAAGGGAATGACGTGGCGAGCTGAAAATAGTCGCGTTCACTTAGAAATTCCAGACAGCATAAGCTGTGAAAATTTCATGACGCCAGAGCTCAGCGTTAGAGAGTTTTTGCTGCTTCACACAAACAAACATGTAATTTCTGCCATTGGAACCTCATTTGCCAGTAAAAAATATGATAATCGTTTTTTACCCTTCTATCTGGCAACAAAACTGACACCTTTTTTTACAAGGAGTCATGTTTGCATAGACCACAATACCTGCAGTCATAATGCAAACAAAAAAACATAAGTCTGATAATGTATGCACTGATAATGTATGCACAATCAACTTCAAGGACAGTGCATACATTATCAGAGTTATGTTTTTTGTTTGCATTATGACTGCAGGTATTGTGGTCTATGCAAACATGACTCCTTGTAAAAAAAGGTGTCAGTTTTGTTGCCAGATAGAAGGGTAAAAAAACAATTATGTAATTTCTGCTTTATATTTAAGATAGCAGTTGTATCCGTTCTTTGCACGGATATGTATTGAACTCCGAGAAGCCAATGACTTCATCGGCCAGGAGCGAAGCGCCATCTGAAATCTCCCGGCACGCTGTGAACAGCTGTACAATATTGAACCTATCCACATGCCAAATTTCAAGTGTGTTACATGTTGGGAAGTATGCTAAATATTTCGAACAGACACATTCACAAATTTCCCTTTTTTTATATAGATAAATCGGCATTTTGCGACCCCCATTGCCACCGTGTGGCATATTATTACGTGCCAGGGACTCTTATGAGAGGACAACAGTCCGAGTCCATAATTGTCAATAAGTAACAGCAAAGCAGTTACAAACGACTCACAGAATTGTGCGCAGTTGCGTATACAGTACACGACTTTCCTGAAGGCAACACGTTCAGCGAGCGTGATGCCGATCACACGCGTCGAATAAAAAGCAAGGGACAAGTCCTTACTAACAACTATCATTTGTCAATCCTGGAGGGGTTTCCCCCCCTACCTGAAAATCCTGGCTCCGCCTCTGAGTGTGTGACAGTGTCAAGTTTGTATTTGCAGTAAAGTCAATTAACTCTTGAGCACGGGGGTTATATCAAAACAGTTTTTAGTTTTCCTCTGGAACTCTTTGTAAGAATGGAGTCAGGAAGGTATCACAGCACGTGCAGCTGAAGTCGGAACTGTTCATCCCAGCATTCAAGGACATCTGTGCCTGGCTTCACACCTCTAAGTTGTGATTGAACATTAATTTATGCATTTGTCCATAACACAAATAGTATTATTTTCAACACCCTTTTTTATGTCAGCTGAATTTAGCTTTTATAAAAATTCATTTTGAAGCCAGACAGCCGAAATTGTGTGCTCGGAGTTTTGGGTTAACGTTCATTTTGAAGATACGAGGGCTTCCAGGCACGTTTCTAACCACTTGCCCTCTCATTGTGTGCCATAACAGCCCGTGTGATGAATTTGGGACACTTTTTTACTATATCATGCATATATGAATAAGTATAGACGTGTAAGTCACGTGTGACTGTGTATATATGCATTTGTCTGTGCCTCGATACTGACGTGTAGATGGTGTGGATATTCTTTTTTCTGTAGCAGCTGTTGCTTCCTCTGTCGCTTCTTCTGCAGAATTGGTCTGATGGAGCTAAGACACTCGGCGCGGCTCGGTGCAAAAAGACAACATAGCGACCGGTGTGCATACAGCACGGATCGTCCTGGAAATTTGACACAGCACCAGAGAACTCACACAGGAGAGAAATCCTTTAAGTGCAGTGTGGGTGGGAAGGAGTTTGCACAATCATCTTCTCTTGTAATACACCAGAGAACACACAAGGGAGAGAAACCCTTCAAGTGCAGTGTGTGTGGGAAGGCATTTGCACAGTCATCTTCTCTTGTAACACACCAGAGAACACACAAGGGAGAGAAACCCTTCAAGTGCAGTGTGTGTGGGAAGGCGTTTGCACATTCATCTTCTTTTGTAACACACCAGAGAATACACACGGGAGAGAAACCCTTCAAGTGCAGTGTGTGTGGGAAGGCATTTGCACAGTCATCTTCTCTTGTAACACACAAGAGAACACACACTGGAGAGAAACCCTTCAAGTGCAGTGTGTGTGGGAAGGCGTTTGCACGTTCACCACATCTTAAAAGACACCAGAGAATACACACTGGAGAGAAACCCTTCAAGTGCACTCCGTGCGGGATGGCGTTTACAGATTCATCAAATCTTCATGTACACCAGAGAACACGCAAGCATCAGAAGATCCACAAGGAGCGGAGTCTGAAATCAGCTTGTGAAAGTCAAAGTGCTGCAATGAGCCCATCCCTCATGAAACAAGAACCGGAAGAAAATCCCAGCTTGGACACTTTTAAAGAAATCAAGGTGAAATATGAAGAGGTGAAGGTGAAATGTGAAGAAGTGATGGTGAAGAGCGAAGAAGTGAAGGTAAAATGTGAAGATGAAGGTTCAACTCGAAAATCGGACCTTCACATCGATGGTGGCAACGTGAAGCAGGAGGAGAATTCTGACTGTGAGGCAGAGCGAGGCAACTCCCAGCAGTTTGTGGAAGTGGAGGTGTGGGTGGACTTCCGAGACAATAGAAAGTCAAATGGAGACCCGGTAGATGTGTAAGCCTGAGACGATGTCGCTCCAATAGATGCATCTTTGTCACAGGCCTTTAATGACAAGAATGTGAAGTTGATCACTCAATTCCTAGGTGCAATCTGCAGGGTAAGAGCGGCCAGTCTTTGTGGACCTGTGTGTTGGGTAGATCTCTAACCAGGAGCAAGAGCCAATAAGCTCCCAAGCATTCGCTATGTTATATTTGCATTTATATGGTGCTTGCTTAATCGCCTCTGGCAACTAGGAGATTTGTACTGTATCGTATCTCTTTTCAAACATTCGAAGAGCATCCCCAAGTAGCAGCTGCCCCTGTGTGGCACAAGGAAGTGGCCCTGCACCGGCCTGCATGTGGACAAGAGCCTGTCAGTGGGGGGCGATGGTTGATGTGGCATCTTGGTTGTGGAGTTTGTAGGTAATGTTTGGAATTTGCTTAATTTTTACCCAGACACCAGCATTCGTTTTGAATGGCGCAATAGTATGTTGTACATTGTTAAGCGGACAGTTTTTTTTACATCTTGTTAATACGATGTAACCTGATGCAGAATATTTCAGTGCAGTAATTTAACTTGGTTAAAATGATTGTCAATCATTTAGAATGAATACTTGTCTGATTGTCTGTATACATGTAACATTTAACTATACATTGAATAAGTGATGTTAGGACAAAGTTTGTTTTGCAGGTAACCTGTACAGATCACTTGTTCTCATGATACATGTCAAAGGGTACTTTTGTGTTTTCAGGAAGCGTCTGCCTCTGGAGCAACTCATTGTCTTTTAGATAGTGAGTACGCTCGGATCATTCATCAGTTACAAGGCATACCGATTAAAAGTTACACGAAAAAGAGGAACATTCTCTACAACACGAATTATAATTTTGTATTATGTGTTGACATAGATTTTGTCGAATTAGGACAAGAAATGGTCCTTGCTGATTGGAAAGTGACGAAAGAATTGCACACGAGCGACGCATCCACGCAAGCTCCCGATGCTCCGTTTTGAAGTTTGAAAATGAAACAACTTTGAATTGTATTATGTTTTGAATTAGATCATTGTATTTCTTCATTAAAAGCTTATTCGTTGAAAGCGATATTTCGTGTGAAATTTCTCTCGTCGTTAAGTAGATGGCCTTGCTGGGGGTTCGGTTTTATGCGGACTTTCACCTGGTTGGGATCGCGGGATCGAGATGAGGCGACAGAGCTGGCCGTGCGAGAAGACCGCCGTCTGCAGATCGATTCCAACGCCATCGAACGTCTGTCCCTGCGCCTCCGTCGTTCATATGCAGAGGGTGCGTAGGTTTGCAGCGCCCCCTGCATGAAAGCGACGGAACGTGCAGCGTTCGTCGCATAAAGTTGTGCGTAAGCGCCATAACAAGGCGCTGTCAGCTGACCTGCCACCACGTGCACAGGTCAATAGGGGGCAGGCGAGAGAGAGCGAGGTGCGTAGGGGTCGACCAAAGGTTAAACCCCCGGCCCCCCACCGTGACCGGAGACTAACACCCCTGACCCCCCACTCGTCCCTAAGGCCCCTTAAGACCTTCCAGAAGGTTCTGGGAGGGGGGGGCGGTCAGGAGGAGAGGGGCGACCCCGACCTGGGGATAAAAGTCCGGCCCTCTGGACGGGCCGGGTGGTGTTCACCAGCTCAAGCCTGAGGACATCCCAAGACCTGAAGACTGGACCAGCACCCGGAGACCCTCAACCGAGGCTCTAGCTAGAGCCGCGTTGTAGCGGACCCGAGGTGAGCTCCTGTACCCTGGCTGGGACGGCTCGTCCAGTCTTCCCTGAACGCCGGGCTCAGGGACCCGTGGGTAGCAGAGCCCGGAGTGTGCAGGCTGCTGCGATAGAAGGGGGCTGTCACTCCCGTGGGCTGTCGGGTGGAAGGGGCCGTACCCCTTCGTGTTACAGTCGTGTGGAGAGGAGTCGAGTTCGAAAGAGTTTTTATAATAAACGCGTTGCCTCAACCAGAGTATAGCCAGTGGGTTTTCTAAGTACATTCGTCTTACAGAAATCAATTTCTTGTGAGCCCACCGCATTAAAACAATGCTCAGCTGAGCGCGGAGAGCCCCGGGGGGGGGGGGGGGGGGCACCTCATCTTTGTCACGTGCCGTAGCTCACGTGACTTCTGCCGCGATCTAACTCGATGGTCGCTATTTTTATTAAAGCCTTTATATTAAGTTCACGTGCTTGCGTGCTTGCTTACGACCGTGCAAATCTTTCGGTCGTTTTTTAACCCACTTCCCGTGATCCAATCGAGCTGACATTTTCCACACAGACTCGTTGTGCCAGACAATTAATATTTGTGAAAAAAAATTCCCAAAATGTTACACTTTTTAGGCAAATTTTTTTTATTTTACATATATTCAAATATAACTCATTCTTGGCTTTGGCTGAACGTCACAGTATAAGAGCCCAGAGCGTAACCCGTCCACAGGCCGTGGCGGAGTAGCGCAGTTGGTAGCGCCCTCGCTTCCCATGCCAAAGGTCGCGGGATCGATCCCCGCATCCTCCACAGGCGAATATATTTTTAAATCCTTTATATTAAGTTCGCTGCCACGCATATAAAGGATTTATAGTGAAAAACTTTGTTTTTACGGGTTATACTTATTAAATCCTTTATATTAAGTTCGCTTGTTTGCTTGCTTGCGTGCTTGCTTGCGTGCTTGCTTGCATGCTTGCTTGCTTACGACCGTGCAAACCTTTCGGTCGTTTTTTAACCCACTTCCCGTGATCCAATCGAGCTGACATTTTGCACACAGACTCGTTGTGCGAGACAATTAATGTTCGTGAAATTTTTTTTCCAAAATTTTACACTGTTTTGGGAAAACAAATTAAATATTTAATTACCAATTGTTTAATACTGCAGACAATCATCTGACCCATAGGTGGCAGCCATCTCAAGCCAGAGGACGAGAGGACTCTAGCCGCCACGCATATAAAGGATTTAGAGTGAAAAACTTAGTTTTTACGGGTTATACTTATATTCACCAAAGAATGTTGCAAGTGCTGTGCACGGAGCCGTTTGACGAGTTGACGAGTGGTGGGAGCGCAGCAGATCCTTCACATCGGCTGACTGACAGGAGGGTCGCGAGCCGACTCATTGACACGCGGAGCATAGACCGATCTGCGAGACTCCATAATTATCACCTCCGATGACAACCAGTTACTGCGCCCTTTGTACTCGTTTGGATCGGCACGAGTTCATCAACAGCAGTGATGTCATTTTCTAATTGAGTTGCAAATGATTCAACCAAGCATCGATGCACGGATCAACATTTTTGAGACTGCTGCTGTTGCTGATAATAAATCAGGGCCTCGATTTACAGAGCTGGAGTTTAATTGTGTATTGACACCACAACGGTAGCATCACAACGGTGGCATCACAAACAGTGATATCACAAATAATGGTGACATTTAACAGTGGTAGCTGCTAAGAAGCACAGTACACAGTAAGTTCTCGCTGAACGTGTTGGTGGTCACACAACACATTTTCACGACAACACGGTTCTTTCATTGGGGAACACTTTTTGCACAAAGCGCAACGCGGAGCATGCAACGTCATAATGTGGCTTCTGAGCGGTCGACAACGACTTTGTTGAGATGCGCGGCCGAGCAGGAGTGATAAAGGAACGCGGAATGATAGTGACACAGCAACGTACGCTCAGATATTCGTCCCGCCATCTCACCGTGCGGTGTGCGTATCTCGCGAAAACGTATCGTTATTCAAATTATTCATGGACAAATTGTTTTCGTTTGACGCGGCACTTTTTCCGGAACGCATCTACTGCGTCAAAACGAGCACTTCCTGCGCTGTGCGTGTCACATCAGAATCTCTGGGTGGGGGGGGGGCGGCACCGAGGTATGGGCGGATATGTGAACAGGGTCAGATAAGTGAACACCAGTAAATTATTCCAGTTACACCATCTTTGCTTATTATACTCGCTGGGACGGGGGGGGCGAGGTGTGAGTGGTGCCTGAGTGAGTGGGTGGATGAGTGGCTAAGTGGGTGGATCAGTGGCTAAGTGAGTGACTGGTGGTGATGGTGGTGATAACGATGGTGCGGACACCAACTAACATCATGGATTCTCCCATCCTCACCTCACACCCCAATGCTGCTCCCCCTACAATCCCCCTATCTCTCCCCTCCCTGCGTCTCTCTCCCCTCCCCGTGTGTCTCTCTCCCCTCCCCGTGTGTCTCTCTCCCCTCCCCGTGTCTCTCTCCCCTCCCTGTGTCTCTCTCCCCTCCGTGTCTCTCTCTCTCCCCGTGTGTCTCTCTCCCCTCCCCGTGTGTCCCTCTCCTGCCCTGTGTCCCTCTCGGTGTCTCCCCGCGTCCCTCTCTCCTCCCTGTGTATCTATCCTCTCCCCATGTCTCTCTCCCTCCCCATGTCTCCCTGGGTCTCTCTACCCTCCCTGTGTCGCTCTCCCCTCCTCGTGTCGCTCTCCTTCCCCATGTGTTCCTACGTCTCTCTCCTCGCTTCTCTCTCCCCTCCCCGTGTCTCTCCTCCCTCCCCGTGTCTCTTCCCCCTCTCCATGTCTCTCTCCCTCCCTGTGTCTCATGTCTCTCCCCCCTCCCGGTGTCTCTCCCCCCTCCCTGTGTCTCCTTGTGTCGCTCTCCCCTCCCCATATTTCGCCTCCGTCCCCAGGTCTCTCTCCCTCCCTGTGTTTCCCTGGGTCTCTCTCCCCATGTCTCTCTCCCCTCCCCATGTCCCTCTCCCCTCACCGTGTCTCCCTGGGTCTCTCTCCCTGTGTCTCTCTCCCCTCCCCGAGTCTCTCTCCCCTCCTCGTGTCTCCCTGTGTCTCTCTCCCCGTGTCTCCCCCCCCCTCCTCGTGTCTCTCTCTCCTCCCCATGTCTCTCCCCCCTCCTTGTGTCTCTCTCCCTCCCCGTGTCTCCCCGAGTCTCTCTCGCTGTCCCTCCCCCCTCCCCGTCTCCCTCGCCGTGTCTCTCTCCATCCCCGCATCTCCCCGTGTCTCTCTCCCCTCCCCGTGTCTGCCCCCCCTCCCCGTATCTCCCTACGTCTCGCTCCACATGTCTCTCTCCCCTCCCCGTATCTCTCTCCCCTCCCTGTGCCTCTCTCCATCCCTGTGTCTCCCTGTGTCTCCCTCCCCGTGTCTCCAAGTGTCTCTCTAGCCTCCCCGTGTCTCCCCGTGACTCTCTCCCCTCCTGATGTCTCTCTTTCTCCCCATGTCTCCCCATGTATCTCTCCTCTCCCTGTGTCTCTCTCACCACCCCGTGTATCTCTGCGTCTCTCTCTTCTCCCGATGCCTCTCTTCCTTCCCGTGTATCCCCGTGTCTCCCGCCTCTCCGCGGGTATCCCCGTCTCTCTCTCCCCTCCTCCTCCTGTCTCTCTCCCCTCCCCGGGTCTTCCTACCTCTCTCTCCCCTCCACGTTTCTTTCTCCCTCTCCGTGTCTCCCCGTGTCTCTCTCCCCTCCCCGTGTCTCCTCGTGTCTCTCTACCCTCCCCATGTGCCACCGTGTCTCCAACTCCTCCCCGTGTCTCTCTGTCTCTCTCTCCCATGCCTATGGCTTCCTTCCTCCCCGTGTCTCCCTGCATCTCTCTCGCCTCCCCTGATCTCCCCGTGTCTCTCGTCCCTCCCCGTGTCTCTCGCACTCTCGGTGTCTCCCCGTGTTTCTCTCCCCTCCTCGTGTCTCTCTCTTCTCCTCGTGTCTCCATGTCTCTCTCTCCCCGTGTCTCCCTTTGCTCCGCCACTCTCTGTTGTCTGTAAGCTCTCCACTTCCTTACTTTGGTGTAAAATCTACTTGTGTCTCTACCCGTGCCTCTCTCCACGTCTCTCTCCGTATCGCTCTCCACGTCTCTCTCTGTAACCCTCTCAAGAGTCTCTTGCGGTGTCTCTCTCCCCGTCTCCCTGTGCGTCTCTCTCCCCGTGTCTCTCCCCGTGTCTCTCCCCGTGTCTCTCCCCGTGTCTCTCCCCGTGTCTCTCCCCGTGTCTCTCCCCGTGTCTCTCCCCGTGTCTCTCCCCGTGTCTCTCCCCGTGTCTCTCCCCGTGTCTCTCCCCGTGTCTCTCCCGTGTCTCTCCCCGTGTCTCTCCCCGTGTCTCTCCCCGTGTCTCTCCCCGTGT